GGGTAAATGACTTTCGTTTCAAAAAAAAAATCTGTCGGTTTTAAAATTCCTGCCCTCCGAGTAACGCGACATAAAGAACTTCGTTCTAAAAATGAAACCTACTATGATATGGATTGAAACCTTTAAGTACAAAACGATTCATGAAGCGGTATAAGCCTTATCCATCTCCACTATGAGAAGGACACATAAATCTTCTTTCGAAGTAACATATATTTATGGATATCCTTCGGAGTTTGTCCTACGGCTTATAGCAGTTAGGAAGTGTAAAGTTAATAAATTAGTGATCAAAACTGTACTGAAAACTTTAAAGAATAGTTGAAGCTACATATTTTTCAAAAATATAAATGGATTCTGGAATTCTAAGAGTACGGGAGGATTAAAAAACAATGTGCTTAAATTGAAAGTCTGTGCATATAATTCATAAGCATTAAGTTCTACGATTCAATTACATAAGATTTATGGATAACATTATAGCCAGAGCAAGAGCAAATCAGTTAAATATATATAGCATATACTCAGTTGTAGAGTCAAAAGATTCAGAAGAGAAAAACGAATGTTGTCGCTTGCTTTGGCTGTGCCCTTAGCTATACAGCTATATAGCCGACATTTTCACTCTTCTTCTCGTAGGCGCACATTTGGCATACCCTTTCCACGCATCTGCGAAATATGCGCCTATATGGACATTTCCACGTGAATCCACTCTTCTCCTCGTAGGTGCATATTTCTACCGTGCTTCTCAAATGTAGAAAAAAATGTGAGCCTGTTTCGGCTGCCTGGCCACATCGGGGCGCTTGAACCACTGGAAAAAGTGGGCACACTCCGTAGCATGGCAGTTAGCAATCTCCCTACTTATCTTTAACGCCGCCTTGAATAACATTGAAAAAGCTTAGACCTGCTGTAAGTAAGTGCATCAAAATACTTCACAACAGTTGCTTCGATTAATTGCAACAAGATTTCCTCTTACGAATTCTGAGTCATTAAGCGCAAGCTAATGCTTGAACAGTTTGTAGCGCCGACGTAACGTTAAAGTTTTGCAGGATCCGGAAGAATATTACTGGTCTTGTAGTTTTACACGTGCATCGGGATAGTACCTTCTCTTTTTGTGTGCTTCTTTTTCTATTCTCGGTATACACACACATACTCTAGTGAATTACGTAAGTTAGAGCGTTTTACAGTGCCCCTCCTAGCGCATTATTTTGTAGTTATTTGACTCAACGGGCAGCTACTGAGGCTAGTGGTTACGTTCAATCAATTTATTTTTCATCCCCTGTTCACAGAGCCATATTCCAGCTACTCTGAAAAAATACGTACGTTGGAGCACTTCACAGTGCCCCTGTTAGTGCATCATATCGTTGGGAGTCAACTGAGCGGTTATGTGCATATCTTTTAATTTTTTTTTTTTTTTACTCTGTCTACTTACTCCATATTTTTCCTAATAATCGGTCATCGTGCTGTTAAAATTAAGCAACATTAAAAGGTGTCAACTACTTTTAACCTATAAAACTGCCTCATATCTCTTATTAGACCAATCCTAATGGTAAACCACGAGTGGAAGTATGAAATCTAGGGTAATAAATCCTCTTCTTAAATGATAGTTAAATAAAAGTTTTCTCATACTTTTGATTTTTCAGAATAAAAAACTCTTATTAAATACAAAGTTAGTCCATACAAAGCATTCACGTTTGTTACTAAGCGTTTGAGCTATAGAAACCACAACGGAAACCACTAAGGTACCGTAGCCGCCTTGGTAACTTATTTCATAAAGTAGAAAATGTTTTTTAAATCTACTTATACATTAACAAATATAACCTGCATATTTTGAAAGCCAAATCAGCCACCCATTTATCATAAACCAAACCTGAAATTCTAGAACTGTGGTGAGTGCTTTCATAGTTTTGAAGATACCTTTAACTGTATACAAACTCCGTTTTTTTATTTAAGATGACCTCCCGCAAGTGACTAATGGTTAAACGTACTTAGAGCAGTTACTCTTTACTTGAATAGCAAGTGGTTGTCAAGCTTGTTCTAGGATAACCCAAAATAACAAATATTATTAAGAAATTAAAAAAAATAGAAGTATAAGTCTGTTTTTATAATGACAGTTAATGTAAAAATTTAATTTTAAAATTAGGATTTACTAGGTTTCTTTACTAACCTTAAAAAATTTTTTTTATACGCCTAAACTAAAAAGGCTCAAAGTTTCTCTTTTAGAGATGCATTATGCTCAATTTCTAAATACAACGGCGGAAAGATACTATTAAGCGCGTTTCTCAATGGATGTAACAATACACCAAAAATTATACACGAAGCCGATGAACCTTACTTTACTAAAATAACAAAAGGTACACTCTTTGGTAAACCATAAGCAGCCATGTTTCATTTTTCATTTAATACAATCAAAGACTTGAAAGATTACATTGAAACAACATACGCTTCCGCGGAAACAGTAAATAAATTTAAAAAATGTATCAAAAATTAGTTTCCATACACTTTCAAAATGAGTGGGGCAAGACTAGAACAAGAGAAAATCAGAAAAAACTGTAAGGTTTATCATGATATCTTTGAACCAAGCAGGTATTTTAGTAACCAAAATCTGCATCCAAGGAAAAGATCTACTACCGTAGCAAAACGTAACGTAAACATACCAACCGTAGTAAGGAGTCAATATAAAATACGTGGTGAAAAGGAACACATAAGCCAACAATGCAATATACAATGGTCAGCTTGACAATTATCCTATAAGGTAGGACATTTTTCTATTGATTGTTTTTTGTCTGAACCCCAGCAAATACCTTGGGAAAGTTCAAACGACAATCCAGACCAACGCAAGGTTGAATGTCAAATTCGTGGCACTCTTCGACACATAGCTACAAACTGTACACATTAGGTTAACCCTCATCACATATGCTTTACTTACCTAAGATTATGGTTTAGGATAAAGATCCAAAAATTTATTATTACATCTATGTATAAAACACAAAAATTTTTAAGTTTTCTACGGATGCCCATATTTTATAATATTGCTATGCACGAATCGAAAGGAAAATTTTTCAAAATACTTATAAGTAACAAATTACCTTAAAACCATGACAGTAGTCAGGGTGAGTAATTTCCAGACACCTCTGACGTCACCATCTGGCGCTGGTGGTCGGGCCCTGGGTGAGTGTTTGGTCGTGCTGTTGGAGGAAGGGAGGAGTGGGGTCCCTAGCTGGAGAATTTGGGGGCTTCGAGGAGTGGCGTGGTTTTTGAAATTTGGTGGGCGTAGGAGGTGGGGTGGAAAAGTTAAAATAATGAAGTCGTTTGAAATGGGGTTGACAAAAATTATTCATAGCGAGATATAAAGTGATACATTTAGAAATACAATGTAAAAACTTAAAATAATTGTTCATAGTATAAAATGTATGGTGGTATAATATTAATACATGTAGGTTAAGCTGTCACTGATAAGAAGTGTTGTTCATCTAAGAGTTTATAGTTTTATATAATGTAAGTGATAAATAGAACGCAAAATGTCTAGTTTTTTGTGATATGTTTTAACGCAGGATGCATATTTTAAAATTAATTAAAGTAAAATATTCTTAGACTTACAATTTTAATTACATGTTGAGGATATAACGCGCCTATTTTCTATTTTCTTATGTCTAGTAATATTATTGTACAAAGTTACACTTATTTCTTCATTAGTTGATGTAGTTCTTGAAAATATTGAACAAAGCATACCCAAAGTATAATTATGAGACATGAAAAACAAAAAATCGATACAGCAATGACCACACATTTGAGAGTCAATACTCTGCAATTGTTGTACGTTCCACTCGTAACTAATACAGTTTCATCTAAGTCAATTAACATGGTGTGAGCCAGCGGGTGGCAACCCATAACTGTCAAAGAAAACTCCGTGTCCGCTGGAATCCACATTTAGAAGGCTACCCAATACGTGCCAGGTCTTGTACTCTCGTCTGTATTAGCTACAAGGCCACACGGTCTCGTCAAAACAAATGGCAGCTTGTCTGCTGGAAATACCTTGACTGTCGGTGTCGGAATACGCTGCAGCCCTTTTTGTATTTGCAGTGAATTTATCTTTTCTCATTTCGGCGTACACAGATGCAGTAAAGTCCCCATTTTTTCTAGATTTCCAAAGGTTACTGCTTTTCATGAGTTTCCCGACCTTTTGTGTAGCAGCAGCAGCAGAGGGGAATGCCAACTGGCTTAAACGTGCAGATTTTATTACCGGCTCTTGAGTTTTTTTTTTTCCATCTAAAGCATCATCTGGTGTGGCGTCAGAGGAAATTACTTCTATAGAATGTACTGTCTTGTTGATCCAGGTTCGTAAATTATAAACAAGAGCTAGAGCACAGCTGAAAGCTTTCTTTTTTCGACCATGATAACAGCAAAAGTAATTATTATCACAAGAAAGATTTTTAAAAGATGGGCAAGAGTACTCTTCAATATTTGTTATTTGATGACCCAAAACTTTTTCCAGTAATTTTTGCTTTTGATTACCTCGAACGTAAATGTGAAGAGCACTTATTGCTTTGTTACGTAGAGCGCTATTATACATCCTCCATATTAGCTTCACCATCAAACCACTCGAGTCGGTGAAAATAACTCGTTAAATAACTATTTGTAGCTAAAAGTCCTGACGTCAATTCCGTAGTGTTGTAGGGCGGTTTCATAATCTAATGTGAACTGAAGTTACAGTAAACACCCACCACGGCGATTTCTTTTGGTAAAAAATTACCATCCTCATCGTAAAATGCTTGAATATCTACGATAAAATTAACTTTTTCCATGATTTTTTGTGAGCAGCCACGTCCACTGCCTTAAATGGTACGCGGCATACTGATCGTTCGACAAAGATTGGAGATTATGAGATGAGAAAAAAAGGTTTGTAACAGTGCTTAAGAAGTAGTAGTGAATACAAGAAGAGGAGTAATGGGGGTTAGTGGTGGTAGTAATGGTACAAGGTTAATTACAAAATGAGAGAAAAAAAAGTCTTCTTAGGCGTTGAAATCCACAACTATGTGACGGTCAGAGTCTATTTCTAACACTTTGTCTAATTCTGAGTAAAGAGCGCAATTTATTGTTTTTGTCAAAGGCGTCTCAAAACGTACTTCTACTCTGACAGACTTATTTCTTACTAAATTCCAATGACCTGCAAAGTGCGTGGGCAAATCTAGTGTAAGATCAAATGCAAAAAGACAATACCCTTTTGGATAATTTTTTCTGTGTATCTTGTTTCCCTCGTTCATGTTATGTATTCCGGAGCCAGAAAATAATATCTGATAAGCTTCAACGTACATAGATCCACTTCTTGTAAAAGTAGGTTGTAATGGTTTGCTTGGAATTTGTACCCCATTAACGTATAATGACATAAAATTGTTAGAGTAATTTTGGAAATTAAAGAGGTTAAGTTTTCTGTCCCCGTTAAAAGCTTTATTGTCGACGGAACCTAGTATTATTTTTTTTGGTAACTGGCCAAGAATAACGTTTTCTAAACAGTCGCCTGTAGTACCACTGTGCATAGTAAAAGATTTAACTTCCACACGGGTGATTGGATATTTTGCAGTAGTGCTTGCTAAACTCTTTGCACGTGCAATCAAAACTGTGGGGCTTACTTTTACTCGTTGAACAAGAAGTATTGCTTCAGTAATACTGACTGAATAATTCCTTGTCGATGCATCCATCAAACAAAATGCATTCTTCGAACGAACCAGATGAAGATAAACCTCGACACCATTTAATAAAAGTTTGTCTTGATTAAACACGTTGCAATGCAAATGACCTATTAAGTCCATCGTCATACCATCCTCTATATAGTCTTAACGTTTTGTGAGAGATAAATTTTTTCCTGATCCAGATAATTCATCCATCTCACCAGCTACATCGGTTTCCCAAAGACTCGTGGACAAGTGAGAAGTTCTTGCTGCAGGTCCGTTATTTAATAGTTTTTCGATGTGTGCTCTGCACGGGTAAGCATTGTTAGGAGGGGTCACTAGTTTTTGATTGAAATATACATCAACTTGATTAAATATAGAGTGTAAGAAATTTTTTACTGGAGCCATAGCCACGTTTGTATCCTTATCGTAAGATATTTATTTTACATCAAATCTCGGCATTGTGTGAGCAAGGTCCAAATAATCCTCATTTTGAGAGTTTATAACAAACTCTATCGGACTTTCGTCGGTTAATGATGAAATTGGTTTATAATAAACCCACCGACTTGCCTCTAACGCTGTCTGAGTAAGAGGAAGAGAAAATAAATTCAACTCACTCTTGAGACACGGATCAGTGTGGCTATGAAAAAAAAACGTAATTAATATTTAACTTAATATATCGGTCACTTTATTTCTTCTTTTTCTGCCCTTTTTTACTCTCTTTACAGTTAACACGCTTAATTCTTTTACTATTCTTCTTTTTCCCTCCCCTGGTCTTATTCTTTTCAACAACACTTTTCTTGCATCCACGTTTTGTCACTTGAGATGTTTTCTTTTTAGCACGAGTCGTAGGGATGTGATGGGTAGCGCTTTTGCTACGAGACTGCGCTCGACGTTTGTACGGTAAAGCATTACATCCGGATTCTTCAATTAATCTAACAAGCTTTTCCGTTGCCTTACGTTTCAAGTTCATACCTCATTCGGTTGGACGATTTGTCAATGCATTTTTAAATGGCAAATCACGTTGACCAATGTCATAGATTATATTAACACTAGCTCGGAAAGCTTCTTTTCCAATAGCGCGTTCACCTTTTGTTATATATGTCATAGCTGTGCGAAAAAGCCCCGTGAAAAAAGAACCTAAGCCATGACCCCTCTGCCCACGCGAGCCAGTAAACACATGCTTGACACATCTACCTCCACCACCATACTGAGAATGATACACATCGTAAAAACTCATTTTGTACTACGATTCTAAAAAAACACTTTCCTAAAATGTAACACGACCGTCTGTGTCCCAAACTCGAATGCTATCGGTTTACCGAATTGGTCTCTTATATCTATGTCGATTGTATGAAATCTATTATAAGGGAGGGATACGTATGCAACAGGCGTATATCTATTGATAATTGTGCTACCAAAATAAACTTATAGCTATAAATTATTCCTTCTTCGAATCCTAAAATGCGTTGTACTGCGTTTGATATCTAGGGTAACTTTCCAGCTTTATTTTTTTCAAAATGTTTTATTATAAATAAAAACACTGTTCCTTTGTTTTCTAAGGTGGGTACAGCAATAAATACAAATCCACCCTTCTTGTTATAAATGAACTTACGTTGATATTCTTCATGTTCAGAGATATATCATATTTAGGTGCAGTGAGTAAAGCGTCCTCTCGAGTGACATGTAAAATAGTGCATGGTACGTGAATCTCGAAAATTTCAACCTCCCATTTTCCACACAGCTTGATTTCTTTTCGTAATTGAGTAGGAAAATTCGTTATTCTATTATTAGGAAAATATTTCATACTGCTGTTGCTTGGCAAAGTTATCATGAAATCGTTATGAACCATCTTTCAAGTCTCTTTCAAACATCCAAGAATTAAACTTTTCTGGATAACTCACCTAACTAACAAAAAAAATTGTTTTTTTCTTCCCTTTCCTGTGATTCGAATTATTTTTTCAATGTTATGCTCCTGCTCTAATACTCGCTCTTTGGTAACTGGGCTAAGCTCCTCAGGGTAAAAAAATCCTTCAATACTTTTACCATCAAAATCATGCCAGTGATATGTGTATACATTCTATCTTTTGCTAACACCAAAAATTTTAATTATTTCTTCACTCCAAGATTTCGCGGTGCCTTTTTCGAATACGTTTTTCTCGCGACTGATACTCACATAGTCTCTAACTTTATTCTTTGATTTAGCTTGACGATTCTGACGATGTTTTTGCTTTTGTGTTCGCAAGTTTACTAAATTTTGTTTTCACATCGTGCGTGTTATGTATTGTTATTGCACTAGGTGCTAGCTTGATTGTGGAGTAAGGTGATTTATTGTACCCATCAATTTAATCGTGTAGTACATCGATGTAGCGGTATGTATTTTTATATATAAAATATCTGTACAAACGTTTCTTGAGTGTTCGTGTAAAACGCTCTACTGCAGCTGCTTTAAAGTCAGGGTTACTCACAATCCGAAATTTAATTCCATTATGCTTTAACGACTGTGGGAACTTGCTCCCTAAAAATTCTTTTCCTTGATCTGTTTGGACTGTTTTTAGAAATCGATAGTTTTTACTATCGAGAATTTTTTTAAAAGCTGTGGTAACTTCATGGCAACTTTTATCATGTAATGGTTGAGCCCATACAAATTTTCTCAAAACGTTTATTACAATAAGAATGTACGACATACCACTGTTGTAGTTTTTGATAGAAGTCAATTGAATGAGATCAGCCTCCCACAAATCCTCCAAAACGTTAACATCGTAAAAAAGGCGTGGAAACTTACGTCAAATAGTTTTGTGTAACGTGTAAGCATCTTGTCTTTGCAACCATTCCCTTATTTTATCTGATAAAACATTTTTATTTAATCTTATTAAGTTTCTAGCCCTTGTAAAACCAGCCTCATGACTGGGCATAAGGTATTGTTTTTCCAACACGTCCATTTTCACAAAATCTAAGCCACTGTCCACCTCCTACTCCTCCTCCTTTTTGCAATGGTGTAGATGTCTTGAATGAACTTTTGATATTACTTTTAATAACTTTATTCTCTTTAATAGTAGTTTCCCCAAATAATTGATATGCTTCACTGCCGTCTTTACTCGACAATTCATCGGTAATATCGTCATAGTCACGGTCTATCTTCTCTCTAGAGTTAAATAATTTTTTACGAGTCTTTGATTAAGTCTCGACTCGATTGATGTTACGAATTTCCCACAGGTCATCATTTCCTACAAACTCTTGAGGAGTAACGATCGAGCGCAAAGTATTACCAAATTTTTTTTTACCCACAGGTTTGACGGTTTTCCTGCGTCTTGCTGCATCATTTATTAAGTCAGCGATATGAGAACCTTGTATTTTTTCACTATCAATGGTCATGGTACCCTCACTATTCCAACTAATTTTACGGTTATTCTTTTTTAAATAATGTAAAGTAATTCAGAATTTTTTTGATATGCTTTAGGTATAGTTTTCAGAATCATATCATCACTCATTGGATCATTTGCATCTGTATCATATTTTTCCTCCTCTTTTTCCGTTGATAAGTATGTATTTCCTCGTTCGTCTATGAAATAAAAGTATCTTTGTAAGACTCTCAAATATTATTTAGATTTTTCACGTTCGTCGTTAAACGCATTGGAGTTAAAAATTTGTTTTATTTCATTATCCAAACGACTGAGGTTGTTTCCAATAGTTTGTGTAGATTGTAAAACTCGTTGCGATAAACAATCGTTAGTAGCAGTAGAAACAGGTATTACAGCTTCATGGAGGAGTTTCACATTTTCACTGTGTATTCTTTCGAGCTGTTTTTTCGAAATTAAAACCATTTTTTTTGCTGTCTCCATACCACTTTAAATCTTTTTATTTTATAAAGCTCTTGTTAATATTGCACTTCACATCGCTTGAAGTATAAAATGTAAGAAACCATTAAACCTTGTTGTACAATAATTCTTTTTTTTTTTCAACAATCTTCACTGTCAAAGCCTCCTTACTTCTTCTTTATCTTCTTTTTCTTAGGAACTGCTTCCCTCAACACATTTTTTAATTTTTCAAGTTTTGACTTTCGTAATTTTTTCAAAGGAACAACACCTTTTTGTACATTTAGAACACACTCACAAATATAATAAGCTTTTTTTTTATCGGCTTTTTTAATAATGCAACACACTAATCTTTATGGAAATGCTCGAGAGCTTTCAATATTTTCATATGTTTTTTTTAAGTGGCATCTTTGAAGAAAACGATAAGTTTGAGAACCTATGACTGTTTCGGCAACCAAAGTGTTCACTTGTCATCCGTTGTGATGCAGATGCTTCCATCGTTCAAACAAAACTGAAGATACAAAGTCACTGACCAGTATTTTAAACAAAATTTTATTTTGAAGTGAAACTTCTATGCCGCGTATTGGAAGTCTAGAGGCGAGTAAAACCGGCTGATGCAACGCAAAAGTGTCCATCCGGTTCTTGGTGGCGAGGGGGGAGTGGAGAGCGGGGAGCGGGGCATGGGAGAGAGTAGCGCGCACGCGCATTAGAAGAAGCAGTCGGGAACTATACCTATATTTACCGTATACCGTTGAGTAGATGTGCGGGGGGAGATGATACGCTACGATAACGTACGACAACAGTCGATAGTTGACAGAGAGAGAGAGAGAGAAAGAGCAAGCGCGCGATCGTGTATAGAAATATATGTAGAAACGAATATACATGTATATATCCGAAGCCGGAACGTGTGTGTGTGTGTGCGTGCACGTATGAGAAGGTAATAAGGTACAGAAGCGTAGAGGTCTGGCACTAGAAAGTACTAATGTAACGTATAGAAACCGTTTACCGTAGCCATAGTCAGTATAGAGGTAAGCAAACTACGAGAGTGTGCGTTTACTGTGTAGAGTACATACGTGCTGATTGTCTATGATATATATATATTGGTAGTAATATATTTGCGTTTTTTTCTCTATTCTTTTTTACAGTCACTGATTTACAGTCAATCTAAAATTGGTGATTTGTGTGCTATTGAATATATTTTACCAACCGGATTGACAATTATAATGATTTCCATATATATTTCTATAAATCAGACTGTTCAAAAAATCATTGAGTTTATCCATGAATCATGACTAAAGTTTACTGTTAGAGGTGCTGCATTACTTA